ACGGAAGAGAAGAACTGGTAATAAACTCTATGCCACTCGTTTTAATCGCTAAGTTTTACACAATGTTTGTAAGGAGCTGCAACCATTACACCGTGTTCCACATGACATCTTAAGTAATTAATAATGAAAAAATAAATTAAAAACAAGAAAGAAATTGTGAGGATACCAGCATTCCTCAGACCCGAAAAATCGACGGCGTGTATCAGGTACAGGCTGATCACCTATCTGGCTATTAGAAAAAATAATCGATCATTTCGGTCACGAAACAGATACAGAAATCTGAGACCTCAAACGTTGTAGCGTCACTGATACGGTATGTCCTTACATAATTGTTTATCGTTTATCCAAACAGAAGAAGAATAATGATAATACTTACTTACTTTTAACGCATTAACTGAATTTAATTTACTTAATTTCATTTAATAGAAATTAAAGCTCTTATAACTTATATAATACGCGATGCGACAACCTCGCCGACAGTTTCAAATTTAAATTAGAATTGCTACATTCAAAGTTATACACTAAGGTCCATATAAAACCCCACATTGGAATGTTCTAGGGAAATTACAACCTCTGCAGAGTAGAGCATAGCTTAAGCTTAAGAAAACTTAAACGTTAGGTCATCAATTTGAACTCGTAAAAAACATCGTGAGAAAATTCTGTATAGCGCGAGAATTTTTATTTTCGAGTCTTCATTTTTTTATTGACCTGCCTGTAACATAACACGTCTACGTTACGTTCGAAAAGGTTAAAATGGAAATGGGCCGGTGATGACAATAAGGTCGAAACCACCCTTACTGGGCATGGCCCAGTGAGGAGAAAAGAGAGGACGCCCACCATAAACCTGGGAAGATGGAATAAAAGGGATAGCGGGGAAAGATTGGAAAATTGTGGATGAGAATGAGAGCAAGTTGAAGATTTGTGAGAAGACCAACGAGGTCGAGTACTAATGTTAAATATGACATGACTTAATGGAATCTAATAATCTAGTGTAGTACTCGGAGGCTATTTTCATAATATTTTATAATGTAACACGAGATTTTCAATCTAGTAAGACTTTGTACTGAAAGTTTAACTTTAGCTGAAATTGTAATTAATCATATTTTGTCTTGTAAATTGATATCTAATTAAGATTTACGAACAAATTTTCTCTGATTTGTCTTAATGGAATGAACAGTTGACATATTATTAAAGGGTTCTCTAAACCGAACGCTCATTGCAAACAAAGGTAAAATTACTTTTCCAGAGACTGCTAACTGTGGACTGACAAATTGCTCGCGTCTTTTGTAGCAATTCACTCCCTTATAAAAACTTAATCAGTCTAATTGTACGTTAACTAATGTACTCATTTGTCTCTTTATCACAGTGTAAACACAATTTGTCAAAACGAAATGATAGACTATTTAAAAACTGTAATCGGATTGTTTTATTTTTGTCATTACCAAGCTACCAAACCAAAATCATACAATGTTTCCTTTCCTCTGTCCAATTGCAACTAGGTATAGTAAAAACTTTGAGCGCAATCCCACGGCAGTTGTCGTCAGCCAATTTGGTATTGTGCCTTCGTTTGCAGGTTTTTCGGGAAAACTCAGTTGATGAGCCTTTGTTACCCTTTATGGCGCTTGTTGCGGCTTTTGGCGTACACTTTGTTCGACGTGGTTTAGAAATATCAATGTTTCACTTGTATGAGTGTAAATTTTAACATAGAGGCTTTATAATTTTAGTAAATATTTCATTAAACTATCTCTTTGACATAAATGTTGACGTTTAAATCAAATTATATAAATGTAACTTTATTTTTCTTTAGGTTGAAAAATAAAAATATATCCAGATGATTCAGAAAAAAAACTATATTTAGAAGTACCGGCCTACAATTTATGTTTTACATAACTGGTAATCAAAAACGATTTACCTTATACTTTTAGTTTTAATAGTTTATTTTTTTATAATGGCCTCACATATCTGGCTGGCTACATGGATTTACATAAAGATACCAGTGGCTACGATAGGCTTAGGCCACACACTTATGTTATATCTGGTTTTTTTTATTTAAAGTCAAGTAGACCAGCCTGTGCCTTTCCATGCCGTTGATTTTCTGATCTAGGGCTGTGTTTCCCAACCTATTTTGTGCCTTGCCCCACCTTAGCCTTACACATACACATACATATATATAATTTTTAATATATTAAATTGAATTGCTCACTTAAGAAACTGAAATGATAGGTTTTAGGAAGAAATTACTTGGAAATTGTTAACGAAACACAGTAAGCCGATTTTAAAACATATAATGAAAAACTGAAATTACAAATAATTATTTAAAGGATTTATACATTTTTGAATAGCCCCCCTTAACTATCAAATAGCCCCCCTGTGGGGCGGGGCCCCACGTTAATCTAGGGCATACCGGTTTCCTCACGAAGGTATATTTTTCTATGAAGTGTTAAATGCACACATAGTTCACCGCCTCAAATCACACACTGCACCTAAATTCACAAACAAACGTAAACCAATATGGGCTGGAACTTATTTACATTAGCATAGCAATTATCAAGAATCAAGTTTTCGGTTCCCAAGCAAAAGTGTCGTCTCAAACTTATGAGGGCATCTTATACGAAATAGTTGTTGTGTTACAGCCGTAATTAAGGTCTTAGCGGTGTAATAAAGGCTCTCGAGGCATTAAATTATAATTGCTTCCTGAATATGAGCTTTGTGTTAACGACTTGTACAAAGTGACAAATGACATAGTTCTTCGTAGGAATACAAAATTATATTTTTACGTTATTCTGTGTCGGTTTTAAACTGCCCTTTGCTTATATGTTGTTTTACTGTCTAGAAACTTATATCGTTTTTTTGGTTTAGATATTGTTACGTTGCATGATGTAAATAAAATTTGTTATGTTAAAAAAGCCCTTTGATTCAATTAATTTTAAAAACCCCAATATACAAACGACAATAACTTTTTATCGAAGTAAGAATATATAATACTAACAACACACACAATGTCTATTCCATGTCTGGTTAAAATAAAAATAACATCATAAAACTCAGTTTTGTATCGCGCAGCCCGGACATACAAAGACCAATGTTTTAGCCTAGACTTGTTTAAGCTATCGCGGAATATGGTTAAAATAAGTATTAAGAACAAACACATACCTACAAAAAAAAAACGTTGCGATTAAAAAGAGTGGCGGAGAGTTTATTGGCAGTTATTTTCTTCCGTTCTACGCCCTTGATTTGAGAACTGGCACTAAATATAAAATTAGAAGCATTTCTTTACTGACAAGTCATAAGAGAGCAATGTGTTACCTATATGATTAAATGATTTTTGAATTGAATTGAATATACACACTCACTTTTCACCATCACACAACACAGCCAAATTAGGTATTACTTAGTTAAATGTATTGAATAATTTTTATTGTTGTTTTCCTTTTGGAAATGTTTGAACCTTTTTGTACATATTATGTATTTCATCTTTGGCGTAAGTGTTTGTATATATTTATAATTTTTGTTAGCTGTAGGAAACGTAATAAATAAATAAATATAACCGTGTTCAATTAATATAAATTCAAAAATTCATAGTAAATGAATTAATGGAACAATAAAAGAGTAAGAATAGCAATGTCGTGTGTGAATAATGTCGGATATCATAACATTTTTAATTACATAAAATAAAATTACTGGTTTGTCTTTAATCTAATTTAGATCAAGGTTTCAATCGGAACACGGCGTATAAGATGCGTTTGCATTATTTGATCTAATGTTAAATTGTAGGGACCCGCTGCTTAAAAATATTATATAAATAATATTCAATTATTTTATGAATTCATATATTATTTGCCAAGCGATCTAAGAATAGGTCAAACGGGTACAATGCGTATTAATGCTAAATGGCCTGTGGCGAATTCATTTCCGCCGTATTTACGAACGTCCAAGACAATCTCCGATAACATATTTTTCTCGCCCTTTCATGGTTTTAGTGTGATATTTAATATTAGAAATATATATTATACTCAATTTATACATTTAAAATAAGGGACTAATATAAAATTTAACAAAAAAGAATGACTACACAAGCTGTGAATAAAATCAATGTATGTTGAAGAGGTTAAGAGCGAAGCATGTTAAACATAAAGAAAATGGACAAAATTAGACACACAAAGATAAGAGCCGTCACTAAAGTTACAAACGCTTTAACTTTTGCTCGAAAACTGAAATGGCATTGGGCTGGCCATGTAGCAAGAATGTCTAGCAGAAAGTGGACCAAACGAGTTACCCAATGGAAAGGACCACCAGGCAAGAGGCGGAAGGGGAGACCCTTAGACCGCTGGGAAGATGATCTGAAAAGATCAGCTTGCAAAAACTGGCACTCCATAGCACAGGACCGACAAAAATGGGCATCTTTGAAGGAGGCCTTTACCCAAACCGGGGTTCCTGTTAAATAAATAATATATAATATATATTACTAACATAATCTTAGCTAACCTACTAACAAAATCAATATTTTTTTTGGTTACTTCAATATAACAACTACCAACTATTGTAAAACAGGAAATAAAAAGGCTTATTATTATTATTATTATTATTATTATTATTATTATAGAAGGACTAAGTTTGTAGGTCTACCTGTAACAGATTTATAAGGAAAAACTTATATTATTTTATTTTCCATATCTATTATTTTATATTTTATAGATAATATCTTTTATGTCACGAAAAGAAGTGTAGTAAAAATTCAACAAAAGTTCAATGCAACAGCCAAACTGTGTTAAGCGCCATCTACCGAAATATAACAAAACTATCTCCTCTCTATGACTCTAAAAGAAATTGTCCTCTGACCCTTATTCATTTAGTTTTTAATATGCTTGATAGATAGCGCTATAAACATCAAAGTTTTAATACTAAAACAATGTTTCCTTGTTTCAGATACATCAACGCGATCCCAAACGAACGAATAATTCCAAACGCTTAGTCATTTTGTAGTTCCTATTTAGATTAAAATGTATAACTCAAGTGAGTTCCTGCATAGCGCCGGTGTTAGCCGGCATATGCAGGCTACTGGTGAGGCTCCTTCGCAGAAAACCAGCATGAAGCGGCGTTCTTGCGAAGTTCCTTTGGGTGATATTTCGTCCAATAACTTCAAAGTATCACTAGGCGATATCACAAATATTGACAATAATTATGATTGTCGGTCACTTCGGTCTGTCAAGTCTGAAGACGCTAGATTACGATACTACCGACCAATAGACAGTCGGAGTGTGAAGAACTTCAGATCATCCTTAGCTGATATTTCTACTCTATCACGGCCTCCTAGTTATGACCAACTGTCCCGGCGATCCCTAGTGGAAGGCCCCGAAGGGTTAGGCATGACGTCCAGCATCGAAGGAGTCCTCTGGTCCGATGAGGAGGAGACGGAGTATTTCTACCACGAGAACATCACAACAGCATGGAATCAAGGTAAGGACGTTTTGATTGAAAGCTTTTTTGAATTATATATATTAAAATCTGGGATAAGTATCAAAAACCAAAGAAAAATGAATGAGATCAATCAGTATTTCTTAAATTAATAATAATATTAATAAAACTGTTCTCGCTGTATTAGGTGTTCAAGTGTAACGTAAGCACTATAGGGTGAGGGGGAGGGTTTCTTTGATTTTCTTATTTGGTGATTACGTTAACAGTAAATATTTACTTTTTTACACATATTACCCACACATTGTCTATGCTTGAAAACAAAGTGCATTTTCGAGGATTCCTAAAAAAATTAATACGTTTATGTACTATTATTTTCGGAAGCTTTGCTTACTTTTGCTGACAAGAGGAGGGATAAATTGCAGTAAATCTGCTTAAAGGGCCTTTAACGGACGAAACCGAAATATTATAAATTTATTACTAAACACGTGAAATTATTATAATTTATAAACAGTTACTAGAACAAACTGTTTTTTTATTGATGAATTCCATATAAAAGCCAGAGAGGCTCGCTTAAGCGAGGTATTATAGACTTTCAATATAACTGGATATGTGATAACATTAGCTTGTTAAATGAAGAATATCTTGGCTTATAGTTGTGTGGGTCTTCTTGATTGGCTTCTTTTTATAAAGCTAAATCATTTTAAATACACTAAAATACAAAATTAACACCAAAAACCAATGAGAGGTTTTGGTGCATGACTACACTACAATACAAATTTATTTAAATTCTTTTAAAAGGGTTTTTGATCTTGCATATTTAGCGGTCACTTAGTTAAGGAGTATGTAGGAAATTAAACATAAATCAGTGGCTAATATTTTATTGCGTCCGAAGAACGACCGGCGCCACACAGTCGAAATACAAAACCTAAAAAATATCAAACAATACGAAAGAAAAACATTACAACAAACAAAGAAATGATATTTATATGTTGACTCTATTGATTGTAAATTGCGAATATATTAAAATATATAATAATTCATTGAAACGCCTAGTTTCAATTATTTAAAATATCAAATGCTTTTAAATTTGTATTATACATTTTGTACACTGTTATTACATTTAATTATTATCGTATAAAATTCGTTATTTAATAACGCTTTATTTGACTGACTAAACCAGTTAAAAACTCTATATAGCCACACCTACTTTTTTATTTAAAAATCAATTAAGTAAGAAGATTTATCGACTTTAAGTAATTATCCACTTTAGATAAAGACACTTTTTCACTTAACGGCTCAGCATTACTTATATTGCGGATGCTGATAAGCCAATTTTGATAAAACTTTGATTGATTTTATTAAATTTCGCCACGGAACGGTGGCTCCATGATTAATTTCCCGTTAAGGCAAAAAGATTATTATTTGTTTAATAACCGTCTGTTTTATTTTGTTCTCATATAAAAAAATTGATAGTATAGAAACTGGAACATACAACTAGAATTGGCAATATCAAATTATAATACTTAATAACTATTTATATTTATTAATAATTTTATCGTCAAATATAAATGTGTCTAGAGAATTTGTTCTGCTAAAGTAAATTGTTTTTGTAAGATGTATTTGTCATTCGGAAATTAAATTATCGCGTACAGTCGAATTCATCGTTTTCTCTATTTCAAATAACCGTTTGGCACACTCCTGTACGGCAATTGGATATCACATTACGCCTTAAAAAATATGCACTCTATATATAAGGTTAATTCGAGTAATATATTAAGGGGTAGTCAGAGACATGAAAATATTACAGATCGAAGCTTTTTTTAAATTAATAAAATGACGGCCTCAGGAAGTTTTTTCCAGATTTTCGGAATTGTTTCTTAAAAATCTAAATTTAAAAAAGGCCTAGGCTAAGAGAGAATAAATTTAAATCCTTTTTAATGATAAGTTATGTGTTAATTTTCAAGTGTACAAAATTATATAAATTACATTAAATATCAAAAATTCAACATAGTATATACTACATACATATATTACTAGTATAATACTGAATTAAAAATTAAAATGTGTTTATTCATTTGACAAGAATTCATTAATGTATAAGATTTAGGAATCGTTTTAAATTTAAAAAAACCTGTGTCAGTTCCAGCTCTTCCATAATAAACTTAATAGTAAGTTCCGTAAGTTCCATAAAAATATATAATTTAATTACATATTTTTAAAATTATTTTTTCAACTGTTGTGTGTGTGTGTGGGGGGGGGTGTATGTATGTTGTCTATAAGCCTTACAGGACATACCTACACTTCGATCGTTATTTATAAGTACCTGCATTAGTAAACAATACATTCTCAGTAATACCTTAAATTATTAGTTTAATTGAAATACATAACAAGGACATAAAATGTAATATTTATGTATAGAGACTATTTGCTAGCCCTGATCGTATTTACAGATATTATATCATTTCCTCCGCTCTAACCTGATAAATGATAATAATGAACTGATACTACAGACCTTGCTCTAGGAGCTTTGGTCATAGATAAGCTGTTTCAGATATTGTTTCGTATTTAATAAACCAGTGGCGCTACAATATGACCTCAGATTGGAGCCGTTTCTTTGATCAATCATTTAATCAGCCTTTTATCTACCACATTTCGTCGATTTATGAATTTGAGACATGCCATTTTCCTCGCGATGTTTTCCTTCACCGTAGATGTCCACATAGGGGTCGAACCTACCACCTTAGGGATGACAGTCGCACGCAGAAGCCTCTTTTTTTTAAATGATGTGAAAATGACTGTGACGCTGGGTCTACACTCAAAGGGTATAGGGTAAGGGTATTCAGTAGGGTAGCGAGACCCACCACCTACCACTAAAAACACCTCAGCCCTTTACACGCCTTCAAGATGGACCCTCCAGGCAAGGCATTCCACCCAAGGGACCTGGGCTTGTGTTCGACATTGATCTTAATCAAGATGAGACTGAGACCACTGCTTTGAACCACCGGCCAGTCAACCCCAGACCTCATTACATGCTCACAGAAGAAGACCATTGCACTCCAAACCTCTTCACATCCTAGCATAGCAAACGCTGAAGACTCTAGGTCAACACAGTTTTTTATTTTGTTGAATTTCGTTCTGAGATTAAAAACAAAGTAAAAGTTTCAACCAAAAATCTGTTTCCAAATAAAAGAAAGATATGCCTCTATGTAGACAACCAGGACCGATAGGTTTTTTACATTATTGTTTAAATTATAAGGGTACGCTGGCATTGTGGGTAGCCACAAGCCACAAGCGCCGGTGGTCAAACGGTCAAACATCATGAACATCTTGATAACATTATATCAGGATTATACGACAAAATCAAATAAGAATTCGCGTGTTTAACATCAAAATGTTGTTATTCGTATCTGAATACTAATCTATGAACATTAATACCAAATGGACCTTGCTTTGTGCCCTATCGACAATTATCTAAACGATGCTTAGCGCTGATTTATCTCGCAGGTGAGAAGAAACGCCAATCACGTGTGCCTATTAGATTTCTAAAGTATTACCGCTACTACCGTATTCCATGAACAAAAAAGTAGATTAAGGTTTTATACCCTAAAAATGACTAAAACCGAAATTCGGCCCCACATGGAGTACTGTTCTCACCTCTGGGCGGGAGCTCCCCAATACCAGCTCCTTCCACTTGGCCGTATTCAACGACCAATCCCTTTCCGAGCGCCTTGATCCTTAGATGTTGCGTAGAGATGGGGTCACTCTGCATCTTCTACCGCATTTACCATGAAGAGTTTTCAGTGGAGTTGTTCGGATTATTACCTGCAGCTAAGTTTCATCATCGGACGTCCGTCGTTCCACAACTGAGCGTATTTTAAGGCAATTTTTGCCACGCACCACCACTATGTGGCACAGCTTTGCGAACAAATTCGACCTAGTGTACCTACTTCAAGAAAAGAGCGTACCAATTCTTAAAAAGCCCGCAACGCACTTGCGATGGCATCACTGTGATTGACATTCTCAAGTGTCCATCACTTAGCATCATGTGAGCCTGCTGCCCATTTGCCTCATCTGTATAAAAAAAACTAAAATGACTTTATGCATATTTTATGATTTGACAATTCACACCACTCTAACGACGCATGTACCTCACAAGATTTCAAGCCGATAATGTTGCCATTTTATTTATTTGTATTATTACCACCTCTGTTGGTTGAGTAGGCCATGAAACTTAAAAGCGTTTAAGTTTTATTCACCGAACAGTGGTCTCATAAGACAGTTAGTGGCTATTTCAGCGCCTACCTTAATCTATTTAGCCAACGAGTCTGGATAAATCTATATCTATCTTTTTGTCACATGTTGAAAGACTGTTTTAGATGTGCATAGAGTTATAGTTGCAAACAGTTTGAAGCATTATTTGAACAATGTTGGCTTCAGCGTGAGACTCTTGTTCCTAAGTTCGAAAGTATACCAATGTACATTTTGTCGCTTTTTAGTACTCGCTCGTACAGTGAAGGAAAATAGCGTGAAGAAGCCGCAATGCCTTAAACCCAAAAAGTCGATGGCGTGTCTCAGGCACAGAAGGCTGTTCACCTACATGGCTTTTAGAATAAAAAAACAAATAATCACGAAACAGATAGAGAAATCTGAGGCCCAGACCTAAAAGTTTGTAGCTCCACTGGTTTTTTTTTCAAACACACATCACTTCTACAATGAAATATGCGAGCACGGAAGACTCCAATGCAAACTTACCTCGTTTCGAGTTGCTATCGACAAAAATCAAACACATAGTAGTAGTTTGCTCCAATTACTTTTTCTCTAACTCGTGGCCATTGAGAACATTATAAGCTCATATATCGTGACACTTAATAGCTGTGATTTTTTATCATTTATTACTTATAATTCAGCTTTTTGTCAACATCACAACTAGACCACCGGTCGCTCTAACTTTATATTATATTTTAATCATACGTACGTTGTTTAAAGTACAATTTTAATTTGAGTAAAATCGTCATTAGATATAAAGTTTATTTTTCAATAAGTTTGTGTTCAAAGATATTTGGTCAAGCATTTAGTTTAGCAATAAAATATATAAAGAGAAAATGGTACACCTATAATATTTGACACAAAATTTTTGCAGACTCGAACAAGCTATTTACCATACGTTGTATGTTCGCCCTTCTGTTTAGTTCCAAATACGCCCACGGAGCGCTTCTCAAGTTCTTCAAAGAATTATTATTACAATTTTACTACAGAAACTATTCGATTAACGGCTTTGTCCGTGCATAAGACACGACAGATATTCAGTTGCAGTTATTGCTCGATATCGTGATAAGGCTTATTTAAAATAAATGTAAATACAGCCTTCGAAAGTATTTTGAAATAAGTGCATGTCTAGACGGTGGAATGACGTCAGGTCACTTGCTGAACCTACAATGCCCTACTTTGTTTGCGTTTAAATCGTAGGATTTTATGGGTGGCATACATTTGAATTATTCAACTTTTTCATACCTAAAAATATTAAGTTTTTAAAAATATATTTTTTATATTTAATAAATGATAGGTACTTTATTTATTAATGTGTCTTTAAAGTCAGTCATATTCCGTTGAATTGGCAACATTTCAGTGAACTAATAATATAACTCTCGCTCACCACGATCAAAATACTTACTCTGCTGGTACAGCTACCCAAAGTGAGCCTTGTCTCTGAATCTAGAAAACACCATCTTAGCCCATCAGCCACTTGGAACCACCCTTACTTCATGGCGTTTTGCAAATAATGAAGTCCATATAGTATTTTTTTGCGATTTGCATTTATTACAAGCTGCCCCCTTTGCTTGGCCTTAGCGTCGGTATGGCGGGCTGTAAGTCACACCGGAAAAGTTTGGCATGACACTGCCGCCTCTTATTTTTTATGGTATGGTATGGTATTTATTATACTATCGGAAAATACTAGAATTTTTGTGGAACAAATCGTTTGACACACTTATTAATCCGATGAGTTCGACTAACGCCTACGCGACTGTGCCGCCGGTTTTTCTTTTTTTCATTGCGTAATAAGTCCCCTGAAGAACCGCCATACTGGTACAAATGACCATTATTTTGTGTCACTATCTCCCGGCCTAAAAACCTTTCTCAAGGATAGAATTTAAAAAAATACTCAAATTGGTTCAGCCATCTTTAAGTTTAGCGCTTAGTAACATATTTTGCGATTCATTTTAAATATAGATTTTGTTGAAGGCATGTGTAGTACTCGAAAACCAATGACAATATTACAGGGTACTATGAAAGTTCCAAAGCGATATGTAAATACACTAATATAAATAATAAACTATGGACCTTTTTTTTTTTTTTTTTTTTTTTTTGGTGAGAAATCAATTTACTGACCCCCGCGCCGGGGCAACGATTTAAAAGTGGCGCAGGGAGTGTGGGAGTCAGTCCGTATGGTGCAATGGACACCTACCCACTAAAACCCAACAGCCCCATCTGTTCGCTATGGACGGTAGGCGCGGTAACAGTTTCCCTTAATCCGCGCCTCCGTCATAAGCGTCTGCTCTGTGAGCACAACTTCTGCGTTGCCCAATCCTGTCCTAAGGTCCCAGTGGAGTACGTGCGTAATCGCGACGTCTCCTTCCAGGCCTTTTTTTGCGTTGAGGGTCGGCGTCTGGGTTACACTCCCGAACCCTCTCCGCATTCTCTTTAAGTGTAATGACGGCTTCACAGAACGCTTTGAAAGTGTTCCATGGGCCGTCACTGTCAGCCTCCATCATAGCTTTAACTATGACTGGAAGCGACAGGTCCAATCCGAAGGTGGCGGTTAATAAACTATGGACCTAACCTAACCTCGAACTTGTATAATAAAATAAACTTAGGAGAAATCCTTTCCACACTTTATAATGCCATTAGTTCGTGTTTCATATGTTTACTCTGTCAGTACTTTCTTCGCCTTGTCATATACATTTGTTACAATGTTGATAATGTTAGGTAAACGTCGAGTTTCGCGCTTGTAGAAAATATAATTAATGATTATAACCGTGGTTTATTTTAGTTTTCTATTCATCTATTTTTAATTATTATGTTAATAATATTGTAAAAACTTTATCTAAATTTTATTCTGATCATATTATTATAAATGAAAATATATTTTAATGACTATAAAGCTGTATTTTAATGGAGAAATTTATGTTAACAATATCCCAAATTTAAAATACAATAGTATGGTAATTCAGATATTCCTTTAATCCTGCATCTAGCCTGTATTCTGACATTTAGACTTGGTATGCTGCAATTCTGGCTTTGTGTGCCAGAATTGTCTTTGAAATCTTGTAGGATGTTGAAGTCCTTCAAAACAAGGGCATTTCTGCAATACACAAAAAAAGCGAGAAGTCGATGCTAAGAATTAATTAGCCCGAAAATTATTGTTTTTGTCACGAATCTAATACAGGCCCACGTGCGTTAACCACATAGGCTCAGTGGTTATGATATGCAACGTTGGTATAAATTTAATTGGTTAAGAAACTCGAAAGTCATACTTGACAGTTATGTATTAAGTATTTATCACAATTAAGTACCAATAAATTCAGATAATTCATTGAAATTGACAGAAGTCACGGATCTTACATAACGAGAGGCAGTAATTTATCATTTTTGACATGTTAGCAACATGTTGTTAAAGTAATTTTAACTTGTTAAAACACAGTAGGTGAAGGTCATGAAAATAATGAATGGAACGATTTTAATAAAAAAAATATTTTTAAATTAGCTATAGTCTGGCGGTTTTTATTCGTAGCTTTAATAGGTTATATGTATTAATAAAAAACACTTGCATCATGAGCACACCCCCCATACACATCCTCACGTACATACTCTCACTTTCACAATTCACACACATCATAGGCGAATTAGATATTACGTATTAATCATTTTTATTGATCTTTTTCTTTCGTAAATGTTTGAACCTTTTTGTATATATTATGTATTACATATTTGGCTATATGTTTAGGTAATTGTTTTTTGTTGTATATAATTTATGTCCGAAATAAATAAATATTTATTTTATACAACGAAATCTTTCTTT